GTTGGAAGTCGAGCCAGGCAATGATCGCGAGAGGATACTTTTTGGCTCGCGGCTCCAAAGCGAGGGACATGGAGCGAGCACAACGTCCGGGGCGCGGTACGTAGATGATTGGCGCGAGATTGCCGCAGACTCCAGCGGACAACACACGCAGCGGCGCATGCACATGCAAGGGACAAAATGCCCCTCATCGAGACGCCTTTCAGCGTCTGCTGGTGACCGGCCTAGACAGCCCGGCTGGTGGGGAAGCAAAAGGCGCGGCAACCGGCAACGGAACGGGGGGGAGAAGTCGCCGTTGCGGCGCCAAGCTCCAGCCGAACCGCAATCGGGAGCGAGGCCACGACGGACAGCAAGGCACTGTAAAAGCCGCGGGCAGAACGCGAGACCGAGTGGCCAATGACCAGGCGGAACCCACATGTGTGCACACAGGTCCAGGCCGTCCAAGACCTCGGAGAAGGGGGGTGAGCGCGAGCGAGAGCAACTAACTCAGACTCACTGCAGCCCCACGAGCATACGATGGTGCGGCGAGGGAGACCCGACTCACCAAGGCCCACTGAGGCTGAGGTGTGGCTGATCCGCGTCAGAGCGCCATCCAGTAGAGGCAGACCACTGGTGTGCGCTCACGAGGCTGAGCGACCTCCAGCCGGTAGCCTGTGCGCTGACATCGTATCCGAATCACGCGAGGAGGATGCGCGATGCATGGTCGAACACAGCATGGCATGGCGTAGGAAAGCACGGCAGAGCGAAGCATGCCATAGTATGTCGTGGCATTGCGCAGTGAAGCATTGCACCACAAAGCGTTGCAACACAAAGCGTGGCATCGCACAGCGGCGCAAAACACAACACCGCACAGCATGTCATGGCGCGGCGCCAAGTTTTTTTGATCGGAACAGGGCCCGAAAGAGCTATCTCAGGCGAAGCCAACAGCAGGCATCGCCCGCATGAAGAAGTGGACAGGGCCCCCCCCCCCACCACTCCCCCGACATGGTGTCCTTACCCGCCTCGAAGGACTTAGGATAGGTGGCGTCCTTACTGGATGCAATGCCCTCGCAATCGCCCCAGAACCGCGAGCCGCGAGCGCGGGGCCGTCTGCTGGGCCCACGCGCCGCGCCGAAGGCAGGATGCAAGGGTAGCTCCATCAAGGCGGACCTGGTGTCCCCGAGCGATACTAGGCCCAACAGGGCCTTGAGCGGGGAGGGGGGCACCAGGGAGGACAGTGTCGCGCGCGGCCCAGGAGCCCCCCCCGCAGCGACCCCCAGAGGTCCGAGCCCTCTTGCAGGGCGGAGGCCCACAAGGGCCGCCAGGGAAGGGAGGCCCACGGGGGCCGACGGCGGGCGGCGGGGCCAGGGGCCGAGGGGCCTTCGGGCGCGGCCCACCAAGGGATCAGTCCTCCACGGCGCCCCCCCCGTCCTGGCGGCACGCGAGTGGGGGGCAGGCGTGGGGCGCGGGCTTTGGTCGGCCTGCCCGCCGCATCCTCGAGGTCCTCGTCCCCGTGCTCCTTCTCAACCCTGAACCGCACCCGCTTAAACGCGAAGGACAACCCAAGGCCCTCGGTTGCCAGGGGCGGCGGCCCCTCCACGTCGGCGGCGGCGGCGCCGGCCTCGGAAGGGGCCCTCGGCTCTCGCAGACGTCTCCGAAACACCCGCGCCATCCGAACCAGGCGCCGCGCGGGAAGCCTCAAGCGAAACGCCATCCGAGCCCCAGAGGGCCGCCGCCGCGGCAACCCCACGCACACCCCGCTCGAGTCTCGCAGCGCATTTGGCGGAGACCACGAAAGCGGAGCAACGATCACAATACCGCTTTGGCCCCCGCGCCGCGCGCGGTGCGGGAAGGTGGAGCCTTCGCCGCCAGGCCGCATCACCTGCGCAGGGGAACCTGCGCGAGCGGCGCCTGGCTGCCCCGCCCGCTGCTGGCCCCAGCGGCGGCGCAGGGAGGCCGCGCGGCGCCCCGGCACGCGGTCGCGGCCGGGCAGCGCGGCGCCGTCGAAGACCACGCGGGAGGCCGTGCCGATCCAGGCCGCGACCTGGCGCGCATGCTTCGTGGCGTCGCTGCGCCTCTCGACAATGGCCTGATGGGGGGTCGTGGATGCGCCGTCCCCGCATGGCCCTCGCATCGGCCAGGTCGTTGCATCTCCTCTCGCAAGTGTCGGCTCTGGAGCGACCCTTCGAACGCGATAGATACATCGGCGCCTCCACATCCCCATCCCAGGTGGCGCCGCCATGGTAATCAACGCAATGGTACATGCGCTTCCATCGATCCATATTCTCACGCCGAGGAGAAGTGCGCCAACGTCGCCCTCGCTGGAATCCCCCCAGCAGCGGCATGTAGCCCGTGAGAATATGCAGCGGGGCCACTCCCACTGTCTAGGGCTGCAGTACGGCGCGCAGCTCAGCGCGCCCTGAGGTTTGGCGAGGTCCAGGGAGACGCCCATGTCATCCCCCGCCACCACGAAGCCCCATCCAGCACGGTCGGCCACGTCCCAGCGCAGAAGCTTCTTGCAAGAGCAGTCCGTGAAGACAGATCCACTCACGCCGAGGCGGTCCTCGGCTCTGGCACCGCAGTCGAAGCACCAAACCGCTCTATCGTTGCGACGGGGCAAGGCAGGCAAGGGAGAAGGGGGAAAAAAACCCGTGCGAGCACAGCAGATCACCAGGAACCGTGCCGCGATCAACTGTCAAAATGGCACCCGCCACTGCGTGCCCACGCCGGTGATCAAACATAGGACACGCCAAGTACATGTGATGCAACGTGCCAAACACGCACACACACAAACACACACACACGCACCCACACACACACACACTTGTTTTGATCTGCGGGGCGAGAGCGAACCTCTTCCGCTAAAAGCTAGGCGGGCTACGCACAGCATTAATTAGGGAGACAAGGCACAGGAAGGCGGGGCCTCAGGCGTCCGAGAGCGGGCGGGGCCCAGGGAACAGGCGGTGCCGAAGTGGATGTGCAGGAAAAGGTACGCCTTGAACAGGAACCGAAGGCGAAGTCCCGGAAGGCGAAGGGAGTGGTGTTGCCGTCAACGGCGCTCCGCGAACACTGGCCTCAAGTACTGCAGGGGAGGACGCGCCACGTGACCAGGTCGACGCCCAGGAGGAAGAAGAGCACCACGAAGGCAATGAGCACCGTTGTGCCACCAGATGATGCCACACACACACGTACCTGGGCAGTTACGATCATCCTCGCCCCCTGCATTAGCGTAGTGATGCAAACTTTTCTGAGAGAGATGTCCACCAAGCACAGCGATGCGCAACGCTGCCCTCGCTAAAGAGTCCAGCACCCAACGCTTGGCCTGAGGGCCAAGCTGCAGCATACCTCTGATCGGTGCCAGCCACAAGCCTGCAGGATCCTTGTGCGAAGGCCCAAGGATGTCGGGCATAAGGCCGGGCCTCTGTGACCAATGCAACCAGCAATGTGCCTCGTAGTCCTTGAGCGCGATCCACTTCACCAGCGCTGGAGCCGCATCCCCCGGGTCCAGAGCCTAACGTTCCGCGTCCACACATTGAAAGCAAACGAACACTTCCACCCCAACGTGAGCAACGAGCGAGCAAAGTCACCCGCGAGGCCACGAACGTACGTCCAGCTTGTATCCAAGGACTCCGAAGCGACCAGGAAAAACTGAGTCCTCCATGCCAACTGCATCGAAGCAAGGTCCACGTCACCAGCATGTACCATGACCCCCATCTGTGGATGGGGCCGACGATGGCGATGTTTGCAGGCTGGCGGTCAAGAGCAGCATCCAGCCGCGAAACCACCCAGTGCGAGCAGCCATGTGGCATGGTCTGCCGCACTGTCTTCGCCAGAGAGGTCATGCGCTTGACAATGTGCGGGGCAACACCGACGACGCCCAAGCCGTAGGTGATGGCAGGGCCCACTGCTGCACGCGCAATATTCCTGAACTTGCCCCCGGGCGTGCTCAGCCTCTGGAAGTGCCTGGAGCGCTTGGCCACCTTGCGTACACGACAACGCAGGACCAGGCCCACGCACTTCTTCCCAGCTCCGACCTCCAGACCCAGGACCTCGAGCCAGGCCTGCGCCCGAAAACCATACCGTTTCAACGTGGAGGCGACCACGGAGGCGACGTTGGCGGCAGACGCCGCGAGCATGGCCTTGGATTTGGCGGCGGGCGACCCCAGGCCAATGAACATGTCAAACAAGAGGTGGATAGCCTCACGCGCCCTAAGCGATAGAAACCCCCTCTTGGCCATCACCTGCAGAGCCCAATCATCAGCGAAAACATCGAGGGAAATGGAAAATCAACAGCACCAGGATACTGCTCAAGTGGCCGCGCCCCCAGCGTAAACTGATCCATGTCTGTCCGCCTCGAGAGCTGAACAAAGGCCATGGCAAACTTGCAGCCAGGATGCACCCCCTGCTGGACCACCACTGAATTCGACGTAGCTTGCAGCCACACCCGGCGCCGTGGGGAGCGGCACATGGCCAGGGCAGCGGAGCACAGCCTTCTCGAAGTCCACGATCGGGGAGACGACGCCGCCGCTGGAAGCGAGCGACGCCTCGGCCCGCAGCGGGGCCCGAGGTGCCGCGTCCAGCGTGGTCTCGCCCGTCGCCAGCGCGAGGCAGGGCCTGTCATGCTCGAGGAGCCAAGTCCGCAACTGCTGCCCGCGCACCTGGGGCCCGACACGGTAGGTCGCCTGCAGTAGCGCGATGGGTCGAGGAGGAAGAGGAGGAGGAGGATCGAGGAGAGAGGAGGATCGAGGAGGGGGGGAGGATGAGGAGGATCAAGGAGGGGGGAGGATCGAGAACGGAGGAGGCGGAGGAGGAGGAGGAGGAGGAGGAGGAGGAGGAGGAGGAGGAGGGAGGAGGGGGAGGAGGAGGAGGAGGTGGGGGGGAGGGAGGAGGAGGTGAGGAGGAGAGGAGGAGGAGGAGAGAGGAGGAGGAGGGAGGAGGAGGAGGAGGAGGAGGAGGAGGAGGAAGATCGAGGATGGGGAGGGATCGAAGAGGGACCCGGCAGGGGAGGCGCGGCGAGGGCCGTCCGTCATCAGGTCCACGCGGCCGTGGTTCCGGACCGCGTCCTGCAGCCGGGGGTGGGGCGCGACGCCGATCGGGGGCGGGGCTTCCGCGTTGGGGCGAACAAATCCGCCGACACCTTGGGGTCTGCGGCGCGCGAGGCTGCGCAGCGCCCTTATGGTAGCACGATGGCTTCTGCTGCCTCCTCCTCCTCCTCCTCCTCCTCCTCCTCCTCCCCTCCTCCTCCTCCTCCTCCTCCTCCTCCTCCTCCTCCTCCTCCTCCTCTCCTCCTCCTCCCCCTCCTCCTCCTCCTCTCCTCCTCCTCCTCCTCCTCCTCCTCCTCCTCCTCCTCCTCCTCCTCCTACCTCCTCCTCCTCCTCCTCCTCCTCCTCCTCCTCCTCCTCCTCCTCCTCCTCCTCCTCCTCCTCCTCCTCCTCCTCCTCCTCCTCCTCCTCCTCCTCCCCTCCTCCTCCCCTCCTCCTCTCCTCCTCCTCCTCCTCCTCCTCCTCCTCCTCCTCCCTCCTCCTCCTCCTCCTCCTCCTCCTCCTCCTCCTCCTCCTCCTCCTCCTCCTCCTCGCGTGGTGCCACAATCAGGACGGGAGACGTTTGCCTGTTTGGGGCCTCTGGGGGCCCTCGCCGAGCCCAAGGACCGTCACACAACGACTCAGGATGAAAAACCGATCCCGGGGAGAGGGTCGCGAGTCTCAGAGACAGCGCATTGACAAAAGTCAGGCCGTCGCACATCTCGGGCTGATCCGCCCCAGACCCCTCCCCGGAAGCTCCGACCGGCCGGTTTTTGAAGAGGGGGGGTCCCAAGTGCCGGCGGCCCTGGCCGCCGCAGAAGTGTTCTTGGGCGGCCTCCGACGGCGTCGAAGTGACCTCGGCATCCAAGGGCCCAAGGGGTCGGCGGTGCGGCGAAAGCCAGGGAAGCTTGGCGGGAGGCTTCCCACGGCCCTGAAGTCGCGCGTGAGTCTGCGGGCAGGAAATGGACGAAAGCGGACGAAGCACGCTCCCATTCGCACTGATGCCTCCGTCGGGGACTGCTGTGTTGTCGTCGTCGTCGTGGTCGCCGCCGCCGCCGCCGCCGCCGCCGTCGTCGCCGCCGCCGTCGTCGTCGTCGGAACAAAGAAAAGCGACACCACCACCTCCAGGGAGCAGCGGGAGGAGCCGGGGGGGGTCCCCCTGGTTGTGTGGTCCCCATCTTGCTCGAGACATCCCCCATCCCCAGCTCGGGGAAGCAGCGTGGACCTCCTCGCTGGAGGTTGCCCCCCCTGGTGGTGGTGGCGTCGCTTATCCTTCCCCCGGCTCAGACATTAGAGGCCTCCTAGAAACCGGGCCCGAGCAGAGATCAAAGGGTCGCGCCGCATCGCCGATGTATCGGCGATGCATCGGCGATGCATCGGCGACGTCGGCGATGCATCGGCGACGTCGGCGTGGGAAAACACGGTGAGCCGCATCGCCGCTGCATCGGCGATGCGGCGGGATCCTCCGACCCCATCTACGTGGACACCATCTAGGAGGCCTAGATTCTCCTTCCCCTGGCTCAGACATGCTCGCGTCAGGGCAAACTGGCGGGAAACTTTTCGTAATTGTTTGGCCTCTGGGGGGCCCTCCCCAGGCCCCGGAACCGTGAAGAACTTGGGGGCGTACTACCCTGGGTCAATGCAAACCCGAGTCAGTGGGCCTTTGCAAATTCCTGCAAGATCCTGCAGGATCCTGCACCCCAACCCGGGTCAATGCAACACTGGCCCTACAGGATCCTGCAAAACCCGGAGCTCTGACTGACTCTCGTGTGTGTTGGCCCCCGTCTCTTGAGCCCCGAAATCAGACGAAAAGCCGGCCCCAGGGAAAGGGGCCGCGACTTCCGAGGGGCCCCCCGCACTGACAAAGTCAAGACATCGCATGTCTGGGCCCACTCTGCCCTGAGATTCGGGCGTTGGAATTTCTTCACGGCGGGCAGTGTTGGCTTGTTTCGGGCCCCAAGACCCTCACAGGTCGATCCTGCTTGAAAAATGCACCAGACAAATGAGGTTCAAGGCTCCCGTCGTGATTCTTCACGATGTTGCAAATCTGTCCGCGACGTCTGATCTCAGACCCTCCTCCTCCTCCTCCTCCTCCTCCTCCCCCTCCTCCTCCTCCTCCTCCCTCCCCTCCCCTCCTCCTCCTCCTCCTCCTCCTCCTCCTCCTCCTCCTCCCCTCCTCCTCCTCCTCCTCCTCCTCCTCCTCCTCCTCCTCCCCTCCTCCTCCTCTCCTCCTCCTCTCCTCCTCCTCCTCCCTCCTCCTCCTCCTCCTCCTCCTCCTCTCCTCCTCCTCCTCCTCCTCCTCCTCCTCCTCCTCCTCCTCCTTCTCCTCCTCGTTTCGGGTGCACGCTGGCATGGACTGCGGATCCGTGGACCTGGCGCGCGGGCGCTGGATCCACGGATCGGGGCAACACGTGAGGCCCGGCGCCGCCTGGCTTCGCGGCGGAGCGCGCCGATGTTGCACGGAAGCGGGACCCGTCGCCCCACCCACACGCCTCGAGACATGCTCGCTAGCAGTTCCTCGATCGTCCTCCTCGTCGCTCTCAAGGAACCAAAGCGGCACAACCACCATTTACAGGAGGTCCGCGCGGAGTTCTTGGATTGGCGCTGGGCCCCCCCCTGGCCTGGCGCTCGGAGCGCGCCAGGGGCGGCGCCGAAGCGCCGCCAGAGAGCTCCAGGCGCCGATCCAAGAAATCCGCGCGGAGCTCCGAACATGTATGTTTATGCCGTTTTTTTGTCTTCGACTTTTGCTATCCTCCTCGTTGATCCTCCTCCTGTTCATCCTCGTCGTTCATCCTCCTCGTTCATCCTCCTCCTGCTGCTCTCCTCGGCGGCGAGCCTGGGGGGGAAGTGAGAAGGGGGGGGCCTTCTCAGAAGGCTCGGAAGCCCCCTGGCCTTCGGAAGGAAGTGCTCGAAGCCTTCCCCGAAGACACAGAAACTTCTCCGAAGCCCAGGGGGCTTCTGAGAAGCCCCGCCGCCTTTCCGAGAAGGCCCTCTCCTTCTCACTTCCCCCCCCCCCTCGCTCGCCGCCGACCTGCTCCTGTGCCCCCTCGTGCCGCTCCGGCTCCTCCCGCCCCTGCGCTGTGTCCCCCCCTGCTTTTCCTCCTCCTCCTCCTCCTCCTCCTTTTCCATATCCTCGTCCTCCTTTGATTTATCCTCCTCCTCCTCCTCCTCCTCCTCCTCCTCCTCCTCCTCCTCCTCCTTTTCCTTTTCCTCCTCCTCCTCGCGCTCCCGTGGTCCCCCAAAGTTGCCGCTCCCGTGCCCCGCCCCCCCCGGGCCTCCCCCGCGCCTCTGCCCCGCCCTCACGCTCCGTGCCCCCCGCCCCTGGCGATCCCGGGCCTCCCGCCCCCGCGCCCCCTCCCAGCCCTCTCCCGCTCCCGTGCCCTCCCTGCCCTCGCCGCTCCCGTGCCCCCTCCCCGCCCCTCTGCTTCCCCCCCCTCCGCTCCCTGCCCCACCCCCCTGCCGATCCTGGGTCCCCCCTCCCCCACGCCTCCCTCCCCCCTCCCGCGCTTCCGTGTCCCCCCCACCCCACCACTGCCGCTCCTGCGCCCCCCCTCCCCTCCCGCGCCTCGGCCCCTCCCTCCACTCTGTGCCCCCCCCCCTGCCGATCCTGGCTCTTCCCCCCGGACGGCGAGGAGGAAGAGGAGGAAGAGGAGGAAGAGGAGGAGGAGGAGGAGGAGGAGGAGGAGGAATAGGAATAGGAATAACCCTGGGGCGCCGCACCGTCCATCCAGCCTGCCAGGAGGGCGCCTAGGTTCTACTACTGTAGGCCGAGAGTGCCGCCTGCGCGCTGGCCAGCGCCACGGTGGGGCTGGCACGGGCCCAGTGGCGCACCCAATGGCGCGCAGCCAAGCGGCTGCCACCATCAGCACCGTCCTCAGGGAAGCTCTTGCCTGAGCGACGCACACGCGAACGAGGGGAGGGGCAGAGCGCCAGGCGCCTTGCCACACCCCCAGAGGGACGAGGAGGAAGCACCGCCCGAAGCACCCTCAAGGGAGAGGAACCAGCGGCCCACCCCTACCTCGAGAGCGGCCTCGAGCAGCACCCTTTCCCCGCCCCTTGGCCCCCCTGCGGCGGTTGACAGGGGGTCGAACATTTAGTGCAACAGCTGGCCCCATTTCAGAGGCATTCTGGATCGTGTACATAAGGGGGGAGGCTCGGAAGGGGGCTCCAGGCCAGGAGGAGGAGGAATGGGGCGCGGTAAAAGCAAAACAGGAGCGGGCGGAGCGGCTAAGCCTCGCACGCGACGAGCCGCATCCTCAGAAAGAAGACCTGCGCGCAGAAGACCGCGCACACGGTCGCTCTGGCTCCAGTCGAAGCCGCTGGAAAGACTGCGAACACAGCTCACCTGACTACGTCCAGCAGCCGCTGCGCCTCCCTCACGAGCACCCCGCGAGGCGCTCCTCCAATCGTCTTGGTGCCGCCCTCGGCGCGGAGCGTCGCTCTGATCGCCTTCAGCAGCCCGATTGCTTCTGGAAGCTCTCCAGCCAGCAGGAACTGCACCTTCACCATGCCCTCGCCCTCGGGGGACTTGGTCTTGACCCTCTTGGCTTTGCAATAGCGGATCGCGTCCGCGAGCTCCTCGGGATTCGTGATCTTCATCACGGTCTGCACCCAGAAGGCGTGGGCCGCCTTCCTGTCCTCCGCCAAGAGCGTGTCCCCCTCGGGCTTTGTCGCCGCCCCCTGCACCAGCGCCGTGAAGACACGAAGGTGGGGCGCGCACAACTTCTTCTTCGTGTAGGTCGGATCCTGTTTCTCCTTCTCGCGCTCCTCCTGCGCCTCCGAGTTGAAGGCCTGGTTCTCCTCGAGCATGAGCTGCACGGTCGGGGAGTCGACCTTGCACAGCCACGTGTCGTACACCGCGCCGATGAGCGCCCGCAGCTCCGCCTCGTCGCTCAGCACCAGCTTGGCGAGGACGATGACCAGCTCGTCCAAGCTTTGTTGTTTTCCACCTTTGGCGGATCCGCGGGGCGCGCCGCTTGGCTTCTCTCCTGCCTTCGGCTTCTTGGACGACGGCGCCTGCTCGGACAGCTTGGCCATCCAGC